TATTCCCATAATTATGAGTTGCAGAAGGAAGACATATAGGTGAAGGGGAAGCCCTAACACTGGTGGAGGCTGCCTTGGGCCAAAGCAGGAGCCGAGCAGTCTTGATCCTGCCAGCCATGTGCTGTCAAGCTCTGGCTGTTCTCTGGACTCCCTAGTGTTATCTTCATTCCTGGGAGAGGGTGGGGGCAGCTTCAAACTTGGAGACAGTCCACTTCTACCCAGAGCAAAACAGTTGTTTTCATACCACATTAACCATGCAGGTTATCTGGGGAATTTTCCACCTTCTTTTTGCTTCCTGTCCTCATTACATGTAAGAAATATTGGCTTTAAATGGGGTTTTAGAACAGGAATGTTGCAAGAGTAGAGCAGCTGCCTGTTGGAAAGCTGTTCCTTTGCCCTCCCCTCTTGGCTTCAGCTGGGCTTGTTCCTGCCATACTTTCCTTCTGGAAAAACACTTTCCTTTCCTCCTTTTGGGTTTTCCTTTTGTTTATACTCTTTCAGGCTGGGGCACATGTTTCCAAGGGTCAGCCTAGAGCCAAAGGTCACAGTCTCTTCAGTGTTTAAACTCAACCATGGATTTTGTAACACTTGAGGGGAGAAGAAGAACCAGCCTTGGTTTGGTATTTTTGGCAGCCCTCTGTCTCCAGACCCTGGGCTGCTCTCTGTGCCATCCCTTCTTCCTCGCTGGGACAGGAGCAGACTGAAAACGCAGGGCAGCTGCTGGCATTCCCACTCCCACAGCTGTGTCAGGCAGTGGACTCCATGGTACTTGTCCTGCTGGCTTGGGAGAGACCTGGGGCCCAGGATCTCAGCCTGTTCCATACCCAGACACCCCTGATCCCTGTGAAAGGGGGAACATGCAGCATGCCTGGCTGTCCTCGGGCACGAAAACGCTGCTGGATCTGTGTGATCTGATGGCAAACTGTGAGCCCCTGCCCTTTGAGCAGGGTAGAAACTCCAGCTGAGAGGCAGCTGGAGGAGCAGCCTGGTAAACACAGCCCCGTGAGTGTGTGATAAGGGAGCACTTGCCCCGGACAAACTCCCTGGGCAAACCCTTTGCCCAGAGCTGTCACCCACCCTGCCTTATGGTGAGCAAGCTGTGGTCCTTCACCCCCGGCCTCCTGTGCTGCCTCCCCGGCGGGTTTGCTGCCAGCTCTGCTTTTCTACTAAGGCAAAGTGCAAAGGCACCTCTTGCATCACTCCAGGGGAGTGAGGGCCAGGCAGAGCTGTCCCTGCCAGCAGCAGCACTGCAGGCACCAGGCATGCACAGGAGGCTTTAAAGATCCGCAGAACTGCTCCCATCCAGTTCCCCATTGCCTGTAAATGAAATAGACTAGCTTTGAAAAATCAAAATGCTCCTAGCAAATTCCACCTAAATTCTTGCATTCCAGTTGAGATTTGTCTCCTCCAAGGAGAGGACAATTTTCCTTTGAGACAGCCATAATGTTTTCTGCATGAAAAGCCTGGCTCACCTCTCAGTGGAAGCACTGGCATCTTGTGTCACCTGTTTGTAAAGCAGCTTTGAACTTAACTGTTTATGTAACCTATTAAAAATACATTATTGTGCCTTCTTATTCTTTTCCTCCCTGCCAAGGAGTTGGCCAGACATAGTTTTGGGTGAGCTTTGAGAATTGGTTGCTGCTGAAGGGTGCATAGGGGTCAGACATGGTAGCAGTTTCCAGACTCAGTGTGGGCTCTGCAGGAGCATCCCTGTGCCTTGCTGCACATCCTCTCCCAGTGCTGGCACACACAGACCTGAGGCACAGCACCCTGTTTTTCAGAGAGCATCACACCTCTCTAGCCCCCTGGTTAATGGTTAGACCTACATTGCAGTATCTGGCCCAGCTGTGGAACGAGTCACAGATTTTGAATATTGGATTTTCTGATCTCACCCTTTGGACTTATTTTTGCTGTGGCTGTTGGTAAACTGTGTGCTTCTAAGCTCAGGCTGCTGTGAAATCCTCTCTGGACTGCTGCACCCCTGAGCAGGTACATTTTGGTAAGTTGTACAGGAGCAGTGTCTGATGAAAGCTGTCACAAGTGGCTCAAGGCAGGGGGCTGATTTTGATTCAGTTTGGTGTAGAATTGCCTCTCAAAGAAAGCAGTGGTGAGAAGGGGCCTGTGGTGGTCTCAGATTCAGCCAGCCTTTGGAGCAGGATTGTTGCCTACCTCCTGGAAAGACTTAATCTTCCCTTCTAGCTGCCAGGTCACTGTAGACTTCTGCTAAATCACTCCAACCTCTTCTTCCCAACTAACCAAGGCAGCTCTCTCCACCCCTCCCTGTAGGCAATGTTCCCTCATCTCAACCAGCCTGGTGGTCCTGCTAGTCCTCTCCAGCTTCCAGCAGATCCATGCTCATCCTGGAGGGGCAGTTCACACCCACCAAGTCCTGCTGAAAGGGAATGCTCAGAGCCAGGACATGATGAAGTCAAGCTCAGAAATAAGCTTCTTGTTGTGTCTGCTCCAGTGAGGCTTCAGGAGAAGCTGGTTTTGAAGGATTTCTGAATGAGGTGGGTCTGAGCCACCTGGCACGTGCCCAGCACTGATAAGCAAGGCCTGCCTCTGCCCTCCTCATTAAACACTGCAGCATCCTCCTGACCACTGAGGGCTACTGCATTGAACTGTCTCCTCAGCCCCATGGAAGAGCAACACAGTTTAGGGACATCACCAGCACAAGGCTGGTATGTCCTGAGCTCTGGACTATTCAGAGCAGCAGACACCTCTCCACTGGCTTCTGGGCACTGTCCACCCCTTCTGGAGTAGGTCCAAGGGGTTCAGCTGCTCCCAGATTTCAGAGGCACTGTGGCTGGAGCCCAGGGGAGCTGTTGGAACTGGCTCACCCTGCTCAAGGACAGCTCATCCCTCATCCATCTTCACCTTGCTGAAACAGCTGGCTATGAATGGAGAGGCGAGTGTAGTGCTTCATTTAGATGGATAGCAGGGAGTAAGAGGGACTTTGCAGGGTCATCTTGGGCACTTCAGCAGGATCTGGGCTCCAAACCTGAGCCTTTGTGGATCATGAGGCTCCCTCTTCCCTTCTGTGGGACTGAGATGTGCTGGGCAGCCCATTCCTGCCCAGAGCTACCTGGTTCCCCACTGGTCACTCCTCTCTGGAGGATGGTGTCACATGCCTAAGGCTGCTCCCCTGAGGCCTGAAAGATTAGACTAGAAGTTTTATGGGTGGGAGATGTCCCAGGGCTGAGGTCAGAGACAGAAATGTAATGTCTGCCCTGCTCTGTTATACAATCCGCTGTTAAATAATCGCTCGGGGTCACTGCGCCTGCCAGGCCACTGCAGCTGGCAGTGGGGCTGCTGGAAAAACAGGATCACTGAAGGAAAAGCAGTAACACACTTCTGGGCATTCCTATGCTCAGACCCTTCCCAGCCTCGGGATTCTTCATTGCAAGGTGCTTTTCAGTGACAGAGTGTTTGAAGGATGGTGACAGTGGGGAGGTGGCTTTGGCCACAGTGACAAAAAGGCTGGTGTTTGTGGGATGCTGTGGCTTGAAGTGTGCCAGCAGGGAACTGTGACTGTCACAGTGACACTGGTTCTCCACTGAATCTGGGCAAGGTGGACACCCAGCATCCATCTAGCACAGCTCTGTGTCCCCTAGCCCATGACTGCTCTCTGAATTTCCTAAACCTGCAGTGGAGACAAGGCTGGGGCAGAGCATGGCCTGCCATGAGCTGCTGACCAGCACGAGGGGGTTGGGCCAGTGCCACAGTGCCAGGCTGTGCTGCTCACCTGGGACTGACACCCATTTAATAGCGCTGTGTTAATGATTTCGATGGTGCTGCAGAAGAAAGTAGCAATATTGGACACCTGGAGGACACCAGGGAACCTGTGGGAATGGCTACTGATGACCTGTGTTGGCTGCAAGGGAGCTGGATGATTTTCCCTAGGAGATACAGGCCAAGTCCAGGAAAAGAAACCATGCTGGTGGGGAAAGCTCACAAAGCAAAGCTGGGAAGCAGCCACACTGCACTCAGAGCCGGAGCATCACTGTTCTGGGATTCCTGTTCTCAAGCATGCATTTACAGCTAGCTAGCCTACTTCTGCTGGGTAATTTCTTCCTAATAAGGGGTTTTGGCAGGTAGCTGTGCTCCCCTGAGGGTGAGGGAGAGCAGCTCAATACAAGCAACAAACTGGTGTGGGGCAGGGCGAGTTCCTTTTGAATTAACTCAGAGGGTGGCTGTGAAATAGAAATGCTGGGGGATGACTGGATGGCACTGAGGAAGCTTGAGGCATCCCTTACTTGGATTTGCTGCCTGTGATCAGGGAGGCATTCTGGCTTAATGCAGCTGTTTTGTTATTTAATCCCGCTTGATTTTCCTTTACACTTTCCCAAATGTTTTAAGCTACTCTTTGTTGTGCTCATCCACTTTTTAATCTGAGGTCAAATGATTGGATCTTAATCCCTGGATCTCAAATGAATTTGCTTTTTGGTTTCCAGCCCTCTGCTACAGCTAGGCTTGCTGTCCCCTTTTCCTTCTCTCATTATTTCTCTATTTCTTGAAAGTTAATACTATTTGAGAAGAACAAAACTGGTGTTATCCCCCTGATTAATATTTCCAAACAATTTTATGTTTTTGCTTGTGATGAGTCCCTGGAGACTTTTTTGTCAAAGTACCTAAATGTGATCATAGCCAGTGCAATATTGTGCTTTTTGTGGCTGACTGGGCACAGAGACAGCTGCCATGGAGTGATCATACAGGACAGCACATAAATCCATTGTAGAGTCTTCCTGGAGGAGAGGGGGCAGGACAGCCTCTGAAGCAGATTCACAAATCCAAAGATGACAGCATGCTGATTTCAGCCCCACCCTCTGGTTTTGCTAAAACTTGGTTTCTCATTTCATTGCAGTTGCCCTGTGCTGCAAGTTCCTTGCTCAAATGTATGCAAAAAGTCTTGGAGGAAGATGAAATACAACTTTTCAACAACATGTTCTAGATTTTATTGAGAAGAGATGAGATCTAATTAAATGCACACGTTAATCCAACCAGATTAAATGGCACATTCTACTTTGTGTCCTTAGTTTGGCCCAGGGGCCAGACTGAGCTTACAAACACAGATCACAGAACTGGTCTTGCCCTTCATGTCTAGACTCACACCCAGACTTTGCTTCAGTACCTGAGACTAGATCCAGACAGTTTCATTGGTGTGCTGAGGATCAGAGCTTTAACAGGCCTGATTGGGAGCACAGGAGCGATCCCAGCCCTGAAGGGTGCTGCTGCCCCAGGTACTCTCTCGTAAGCTCATGGTGCTGGTGGGGGAAGCTCAGGTCCCGACTCCACCTGGCTTTCCTGGGTTCTGCCATCACTGATGCCAGCTCCTGTTGTCTTTGAGGTATCCAAGTCCTTGCAAAGGCAGCCTGTGCTAGTCCAAAACTTCTCTGAGCTGGGTACAGTGAGCTGTGGCCATGTGGCTTAATTACTTCCAAATCCATCCTATCCTGACAGAGCCTCATCTAAGGGGGTGTGTGTGACCCTGTGCCAGAGGGATTTGCCTTCCAGAAAAGGACAATGAGAGCTGCAGGTCAGATTCTGCTGTGGGAATTCAGCAGAACTCTCTTAGTACAACTCATCTCTATGCAGCCAGTCTGGACTTGCACGGAAAACAAGCATGTGAAATCCTGGGAGTAAACCAGGACCTGTAAGTCTCACCCAGCAGGCCAGTCATGTAGCTGCAAAGGATGCAAATAAACTCTGCTGTGTAATTAGCACCCTTCGTATGCCAGGGCAGTCATTCCTAACCCCCACAAGCAACCAGGAGCCAGGTTTGCCTGCATGGTGCTCAATTCCAAACACCATCCCCAGGTGTAAAGCTGTGCCCCTTCCCTCAAATCAGGATCACATCATGATGGTTTGCCCCATATGGGAGGAGCTGGCTTGTGATATGAGAGATCAGTTATGCTGCAAGGACAAACATCCTCTTCTAAAACCCACAGCCAGTGCTGATAGGAATGTTTGCTGGTAAATACCTGCAGCATGCTAAGCTAAATCAGTCTGACTTTATTACATTAAAAAATGAAATGTCTACGCAGCATTTTTCCTGGTGAGACTCTGAACTGCCACTAAGGACTCTGTGATGGTGGAGTACGTTCCATGACAAATTGGCCCTGGTATCCTGATTTTTGCATTATTCGGACAAAGCACTCCTAGTATGGGCTGAAGCACAGTCTTGATCATAAGGGGATGACTCTTCCCTTGAGCCTTGCTGCTCGTACCAAAAAACAGACACAGCTCTTGGAAGGAGGCTGTGTAACTTCAGGGGCTGGAGTGATTGTCTTGGCATGACATTTGATGGGTGTCACAGTGACAGTGAATTGCTGGAGCAGTTCTTTTTCTAAGATGAGAGTGGGAAAGCTCTTTCTCTGTGGTGGTCTTGATGGCCTAAAGGGCCATTGGGAAATGACACCAAGGGGATCCAAACCCGAGAGGTGCTTCTCATTTTTAGAGATGCAGAGCAGGCGGCAGGTGGGTAAGCAGAGCTGGCCTCCAGGTGAGGCTGGAAGCAGCGTGCTGGCTGTAGGCAGGGGCATCTCTGCAGTGGGGCAGCCCTGGGGTTTGCAGGCATACTGACACTCCAAGCAGCACTGCAGCCTTCACAGGAGTCAGCATCTAAGCCAGACTTTAAAAACAGCCTCGTCTTGTGCTGTTGCATAAGAGTGAGATGGAAATCTCACCGTGTTTATACAGACTGAAATGATAGGACTCTGCTTGAGCAAATGCTTGCAATGAAAGCTTCAGCTGGCTATGGAGCTTCGCTTCCAGGAGCAGAAGAAAACCACTTAGCCATTTAATCCTTTGAAGACTTCAATCACCCTGATAAGATGCAGACAGGGCAGGACAAGGGAGATGGCTTTCATGTGCCCCTGCAAGATTGTCACCTCCTCAGGCAGGCTGCGTCCCACCACCCCGGAGAGTCACACAGGCCAGCGTGGCTCCTGAGCCTGCCCACTGCCCTTTCCCCGGCTGTGACACACTCCCTCGATTTAAACCCTTAATCCTGGGAAGGTTGTGCAATAGCTCCTTCAGGCTGAGAACGGATTATGCCCGTTTCAAAGGTATTTGGCACTCTGGCTGCACCGGGAGAGCCCCTTCAACCGGCCCAACCTCTCCTGCAAGAGCACCTGCAGGCAATTCTTGCAGCTGGTGCCTAGCAACTTGCTCTGAGCTGCTCTCACAGCTAAAATTCAATGCTGTTTCCGCCCTCTTCCCCAGAGGAGCAGCTCCTGGGTCAACATCAGGGAAGAATGAGACGTTTCCCACTCAGCTTGCTAAGAATTAGTGGTATGGGAGGGGTTGCTTTCTCTCTCTGGAGCAAGTGTCCTGCAGCCAGCTAAAAAGGCGTCTCCTCTCAGCAAGTGGGATAGGTTCAGGCGATTAAGTAAAATGTTTTTCCCCACTCCTTCCCAATTTGTTTTCTGCTCCCAAATACCTCTGCTTTCTTGGAGTTCTCTGCAGAAGAACCAGGCTTGGATTCATGCAGTATCTCACCTTGGCTTTGCTTGGGTGACCCCAGGATATGCGAACATAGACAGGTAGATACAAGCCCGGGGCTGTGCTGAGCACTCTCTAAGGACGCGCAGCAACTTTTAGATCACCTGTGTGACAAAGGAAGGCAGCCCTGAATCTGAGAGAGATGCCCTTGGGAAATGGTGAGCACCAGAAAAAAAAAATTAAACAGGAAACGAAGATTGCCTGTTTACGGGGCTGAGATCTTTGCCAAGGTGGAAAGGCAAACATCAACCAGCCTGGGCAGGACCGAGCAGCGTGTTCCTGCGTGTGGGCAGGGCACAGGAATGAGTGCTGGGAAGAGGGAGAAAACGGGAGGATCCAGCTGCAGTGGGCAGGGGCTCGGGGCGCAGCACATCCTCCAGCGCCTGCTGGCACTGAGCAGAGGGAGGAGCGCTCCAGCTGGAAGAGGTGGGAAGCTGTGAGTAGATGAAGTTCATGAGTAGTAGGGCTGTAGTACGGTAGCCTGTGTGCTTTTCAGAGAAAAGCAAGACGAGGTGCCTTGTATGGCATTTCCAAGCTCTGGTAGGGCACGTATCTGCCTCTGGGAACAAGCCTGAGATCCAGACGCATTTCCCATGGGAGTCTGTTAGGACATCTCAGACTTGCCTTAGTGACACAGCTCCCTTGGTGTCTGGTGGGAGGGCAGCTGACCACTGCCTGCCCTGGCTGTTCCCAGTGCTAGCGCTGGCTCACCACTGTAGAGCTGACCTCCTCTTGCCTCCTCAGTTTTATTCCTCGGGAAGCTCTGTGTGGTCCTAGCAACTGTAGCCAGAGGGTTGGAGGTGCCTTATTGCTGTGGACAGGGTGGGTTTCAGAAGATCCACCTTTCTCTCACAGCTGTCTGTCCTCAGCTCCTGACTGCCCGCAGCACTTCACAGTCTGGAAGGAGGAGTGGGAATCACCTGGTCACTAGTTTGAACTCAACAGCCTGAAGCAAATGAGGAGAGAGGTTGGTAAGCGCAGAAGCACCAATGGAGATGTCTCCAGCTCATCCCAGGACCCTCAGCCCTCCAAAGTGGGATATGGCTCTGCCCTCCAGCTCAGGAGTGGTTCTCAGCGTGCTTCAGGTAGGTGTTTGGCTTAAGGATTTGTCATCGTACAGATTTCTTTAAACAAATCCAACCACATTGCACAGGTTAGCTGATAGGACTGAGAAACACTTTATATGGAAAGGCATAAAGGACCCAAGTCTGATTCAGCCTCTCCTAGTGTCCAGTGGGTGCCTCTGCCTGCAAGGGTTGGGAACTGGCCAGATCCCTGCCATGCTGTGATGCCTGAAGGCCAGGAGATGTTGTGGTGGCTCTGTTTCCCTTCCAGCCATGGGAAGGGACAGCTCTCCAAGCAGCATGGCTGAGCAGCCTTTGTCTCACTGCGTGAGTGACACTGGTGGTGTTGGCTGGCCCAAAGTGGGTTTGGGACAAGCTTAGGACAGCAGAGTTTTCAGAGCAGCATGGCTAAATCCAGGAGGAGATGCTGCCTGTAGTTCAAAACTGTGACTGTGGTGGCTGAAGGGACTACTGGCCCAGCTGGCACTTGTGGGTCAGGTGTCCTTCTGCTCCAGCAATCCCTTCCCACCACAGCCTGCTTGTGGTTTGCAGGCCAAATCCACAGCCAGATTAAATAGTTTCAGTCCTAACTCCTTCCCTAGCCTGGCTGAGAGGAATGTAGCTGGGAGTGCAGTGGAGATGGGGACCTTTGCAACCAGGAGAAGACATGTTGATAGCGAAATCCTCAGCTCGGAAAATGTCTCCTTCCTTCCTGCAAACATAAGGGGACAGAATTAAGGCTGAGCTTTCTGACCTCCAAGTTCCTGACTTTTGCTCTCACGTTACAGCAGCAGCAAATCCTGTTGCATGAAGCAGAAATCTATCTGTCTGAACACACACTCTTTCAAACTCTTCTCTGTGTAAACTGTTCCAGACCAGCCAGGAACAAGGCTGTTTACTAACAGCAGAATTGGGAAACTTCTTTAGTGTTGTGGTGTTTTCCCCCCTGGTTTTCTTAGTTTGCATATTGAGCTGCTGAAGCTTAAATTTGCCAGCTAACATTCTTTCTAGCTTTCAATGTGTTTTACTTCAAGCTGTTTCCCTTTGCCCGACTGCCTGAATATCTCCGAAATACCTCTGTGTACAGTGTGCTCTGCCTTCTTTCCGATGGAAAAGTTTTCCTTCACTTGGTATGAGGTTAGAAGGACAAGCAATGGCATGCTCATTTTCACCAAATAAATAAAAGATATTAAACTGCAAAAGGCCAATGGCAACATTTTGGGGTTTTTTTATAGCATTCATATGCACACTTTTGAACAAAGGGGTTGAATCCTGCCTCCATTTATACTGATATACATCTAGAATAATGAAGTTCTTTTACAGAACTGCATATTTTATTAATCCAAGTGTCATAACTAGAATTGAATATATGATAATAGTTTGATCTTTGTATCCTTCTGCAGTTCTCACTTGCTGTGATTGCAGCATCTTTTAGACATTTTAATTTCTTTTTCATGTGTTGTAGATACTAAACTTTCTGGCACAAGGGCTGCCAGTGTAAGCACAGCAGGAGGTGTCATAAACCCCTGTGTTAGGAAACCCCTTATATGCTACTTTGATAGTAAAGGAAAGCAAGATTTGGAAAGCAGTTTTAGGTGCTTCTGTGATTGTTAGTCAGTTTTTACTTTGAAAATATCTTCTGAGCTTTCCCTCCACCTCTGTTTTGGCAGAACCAGTCTGTTTGCTTTTAAGATTGCTGTCACTCACAAGCTGCCTCTCCAGGACTAAGTAAGTTAGCATAGCTAAAAACTGAGAAAATGGTTTCTACAGAGAGCATTGCCACGGTGAAGTGGGGCTTTGCAGGCCTGTTGCTCACTTCACATGATGATTTATTGGACATTGTGTTCTTCTAACAAGTGACAAGGTCATACTGACCAGTTTGCCTGTGAAGGTTTACACAACCTTTAGCCATAGGAAACCTCACAGACTTGAAAACTTCGTGCAGTAAGGGCAGCTTGCTTTCACAGCTGGCCTTTGAAAGGATGAAGCAAGGTCAGTTCGGATTGAGAGGCACAACACTCTTGCAGACCCGAGACAGCAGGAATGTTTGATTCCTTGGAAACTTGTGTGGTTTGTTCTGATTGAGAGCTGTCCTCCCGCGTATTTCCAGCCCCAGTGCAGCACCAGTGCTACAGTGAGGAGTGAGGAGCTGGACTTACGGCTGGAAATGCAGAGCGGTCCGGTCGCTCTCCTGGCTGTCCCCAGGGCCCAGCAGAGGTGGAAATGGGACGTGAGGGCCCAGCAGGCTGAGGGTGGAGGTGGACAGAGCACACAGGTGACAGTCCCGCTCTGTGCTCTACACGAGCGAGCTGCGACTGAGGGCGTGAGGGACCCCCGGGGATGGGCGGCCCGAGGTGTTTTGTGTGGCCTGGGGGCCTCCTCACATCCTGCTGCTCTGCGTGCCCCGCTGGAGCCGCGCTGCCGCATGTCACCGGCACGCGGGGTGCCGTGAGGGAGGCTCTCACCCCACACTTCAGCCCGGGAGCTGGGCCTGTGCGCATGTCTGTCTGTGTATGTGTCTCTGTCTGTCTGTCTCTGTCTGTGTGTCCCCCTCTCTCTCCCCCCGGCCCCGTGCTGCCCTCACG